GTGCGCGCCGGAGAATTCTCGAAAATATGTGTGCACTGTTGAGACATAGCCACTGGCGAGTATGTATGTCTTTGAAATAACTTTCGGGAACAACGGTCTTGAAATAGCGTTTCTTTGTAGAAGCTGCAGGCTTGTTTCCCAATTTCCCTTTACCTCCAGCCCGACAGTAAATACAGACAAACACACAACAACTGTGTACTTGCAAATAAGATTTTGCCTCTCATGAAAAATAACGGGATATTGGTTTTTGAAAAAAAAGATATCATACCAATTTTTAAAATTAATCTACTATTCACTCTTTACTATAATTACAGACTAAAGTAAAACACGTCTTATTATTTGGCCAAAATAATATTTTCTACCATTCTTTCGTAATCAACAACTATTTTTATTGCAGAAACCTTTTGGATCATTTTTTATAGTTTTAGTTCCATAGTAATATCAATTTATTCTCAACACTGCCTCTAAAGTTTGTGTATGATGTTCAGAATATAATAAATCAAAATCAGGATTTGAAAGCTTTTTCGTATCAAAGTTTTTCAAATTTATAATTAGTGCAGATCCTGTTCAAAAATGGTACAGAATTGGTACAGATCAGGTTCGGATGTTCTGCATCAGTTCTATACCAATTTTGCACCATTTCTGAACCAGTTCTGAAAATTCTTAGCTTTGAAAAAAAGTAAATATTTATTTAACATTCAATAATCAAAATTCATTTAATTTCACATAATTAAGGAGTCATAGCTTCTGAAAATGTCAAATCAGGCCAATTTTTGATTGTTGCTCATCATTGTGATCCGGAGTAAAAAAATTTGCTTTTTTTGTGATAATTTAGTGAATAAAAATGGTCTCTTCTTTTATTTGCCATAATTTTCATCGCATGCATTTATTTTCATGGACGATTCTGAAATTATAAGCAAAATTTATCCAGCTTTTTTAATGTTTCAAATTTATTTCACCCCGCATTATTTTTTGCAACAATAGATTTTTCCGTTTTTACTTTATAGTTGTATTGTTGTCCTTTTTCAAAATACGCTGATTGTTGGAATCATTTTTGAATCAATCCTGACCGATTCTGCTCATCTTGGCCGAAAAATGGAGACCACTGTGAAGTTTCTCTTGCTTAGTCCGGTGATCTGTTTCGCCGTATATTGGGCCTTATTACTGACCCTGGAGCTCCTCAAGAGCCTGACCAAGATCATCACAGTCGTCGCTTTCATCGGCATCCTTTACCTTTTCTTTGTCGACGGCGTCAGCATCAGCACCTGGCATGAATTTGTGGAAGTCTTCAGGGAGATCTTCTACTGTGTGGCCGACTTCCTCTGCTCCCTAAGAAACTGAGTCGTTTTGTTTGAAGTTGTTTTAAAGATGGATTTAATTCTATTTTGTATTTGAAAGTTGTACAAAAAAAAACGATTTTTCTCTTTTAAATTTTTCTGAATTTTAATTCTCAACTTATAGGAAATTCTGAAGTTGGAAAAAGTGAATTAAAGTTATAATTTTATCTCGGGAACAAAAGGATATTGATCATACTTTTGATCAATTCCACTGACTTTAAATGATATTAATTTTGAATTAATCTATTTAGAGTGCGAAAATGGATGTTTATAATTCAACTCATATCCTGATTATAATTTTATATTTTACAAAACAATTCTTAAACCTATAAAATAAGAAATTGATTCAATGAAACTAACCTCACAACCTAATTTGAATTTCACAATTAGCTTTGCAAAAGTGTTGAAGCTTTCATCAGTGTAAGCGCTCGTTTTATATTCTTTGCGAAATTTATTGCAAAATTAAATTTGATGGCCGCACTCTTGCACCGTCTCGCATATACAAAAGGACTTCAGATTTCGCGATTGCCCGAGGAAACGAATTTACAGCAGCAATTACATTTTAAACATGTCCGGCTCGTACAATTTCGCGTCGCCCATGAAAACGAATTTTAACGAGGATTCGAAGTTCGGTCTTGTCAGCAATCGGGCCCCGAGAATCTCAAATTAAAATCTCCCCCTCTCTTTCAAGACTTAGATAGTTTTTCACCTTTTAGATATTTTTTTATTGGCCGCGATGATAATGCTCATGTCGCTTTCCCTGTTAGTGGATGTTGCACTACTTGAATGTAAATAAACTAGCGCGTGTATATAAAATGTAATTCATTCACTAGAGCCCGTTTTTCGCTTTGGTCGCCGCCCCCCTGGTACAATTTTATTGACGCCCAAATTCACGGGGCTAGGCGTGGGCTGCGAAGACACATTTGTTGGCCGCGTAGGTGGCGAGGAAGGAAAGAAAAGCCAGAGTCGGCTGGAGAACGGGATGAGCCGCTTTCCTTATCTTCCGACCTTATATACCTTGGCCTGTCACTCGGGCCCCTGCTTGATAATTAAATTTGAGACACTAACGAAGTTAAAGAAGAAGCAGCTTGTGAAGAGTGGACCAAACACTTTGAGCTTCCCCTTCTCAGCAAACTCGTACTCAAGAGAAAATCATAGATAAAAAATACAAACAGCACGCGTCAGTTTTATTGTAAACAGTTAAATAATTTTTAAAATTTTATTTGAATTATTTTCAAGTTCTATTTATTTGCTGCAATTTGCAACAAAAGTTAGTCTTAACTTTTGAAAAGTACAAACAATTAACTTTCTCAATTATTCATAAATCATGATAACAAAAGCTTGCTTAATTTTTCAATTTTTTAAACAAAACAAATTATTCAGAAAATTTAGTTGTCTTGTGAATTCAATTAGGAGTTTTTCTTTTATTAGTTGTTCTAAATAATAAAAGTTTAATTTTTGGAAAATTTTAATTTAATTCTTGTTCTGAATTTATTAAAAAATAAAACTTTTTACATACAACTTTAAATTAGTAAAGAATATAACTTCTGATAGCAGCTCATTCCAAAGTAAAAGTAGGTTTCAAAAAATTAAGTATTTTTACCTCCCTCTTGTGTATTTTGAAAAAGTAAATTGTTATATTGAAAAAGTTAAATTGTTTTTTTTTTTTTCAAATTCACTATATAATTTTTTTATTTATAATACATAATCTAAATCATGTCAAGTTTAATTGCATTTTGATTTACGTTCTCTTATCTGGTGAAGAAGCAAAGACAAAACAAACGGACTAAAAGTTGAAATAATAATCGTCATTATTTGTCAGCCGTGGCGAACCGACTTGTCCTCATGTAAATTATCCGCCATGTTTGCTGTGCACCGATATGATCTTGCTGAAAATTATTATTTTAAGCGCGCATATAAAAAGAAGACCTCTCGCCGTATTTCATCTGACATTTTTTTCTTTCTTGTCATTTTCGTGAAAATATCAGGGAGAGAGAGAAGAATGTGCCCTTACGAAATTTCCCATCACGATAAGTGGCTCGTCTTGGGTTTCACAAACTCTTCTTTTGCACCATCGCGGCGGCTGTGCTCTCCCTCACCTGCATGGGAAAACGCAATAAATCCATTTGGAGATTTTCACTTGTTTTTTGTTCAGTGCACTGGAGAAATTAATTTATTGCACTTTGCTGGCGGGGCTTCTTTTGCATTTTACGAGCGCGCCTCTCTTTCTCATTGAAATATATTTATTTGTTTTGAGCGGAAAATACACTTTAAAAGAATAAAACGCGAGGCCACTTTTGATTTATGTATGCGCGATGCATACAATGATAACTCCCGCGAGAGGATGATTTCACAAGAGTCTTTAGAGGCAATTTGCAAAATAAATTAAGTTTAATTTATCTGCCAGCTTGCAACGCTAACGCCTGAAGAGTAATGCTGATGTTTCCGAGAAGATCAGAGAGAGACAGTTAGTCAGATGAGGAAAATGCAACCTGCAGTGGAGTAATTATAGAAATCTATATATAAATTAAAATTTGTACAAACCGATTTATACTTTAGTATAATTGCGCTTTCAATATGGCACTGGTTTTCCCTTAAATAATATATAAAGTGATATTTTAATTGGTTTGGGTTCTAAAACCTCCTCAATCATGAAGATCAGTTGATGATAAAAGTAATTAGCTGTTGCCAAAAAGATCAATCATTTAAACTGAGAAAGGGGATGAAAACAAGGAATTAGAAAGGTTGAAGGAATTCTTGAAAGAAATATTTTTGTTAATAAATAAAATTATTTCTGTCTAATGGGAATCCCAATTAATGGTGAATCAAAATAATTACTAAATATACTTTTAATGTATTATGAAATAAAAATAATACAAAATGATATTTGTGAACAAGGTTTTGTTGAAAAGTTTTAAGGAGGCGTTTGTAAGCAAGTATTATTTAAAAAAAAATATGAATAATTTTTATCAAAATATTTTTTTTAAATAGAGCAAAAATAAATATTCATGTATGCATAATTAAAAGAAAATTTATTTATAAAATTAAAAAGTTTAAACACTAAAACTGTAAAAAACATAGAAAAGGTAAATTTTATTTTATAAATAAAATTATTATTATAAATATTGATAAATATTATAATAGATATTTAATTTTATAGTCAACAAACTATTTTGCCACAAATAACAAACGTTGGATAATTTCCATATATGTATATCTTTAAATTTTACTTATTAGCCAACGTCTATACTGATTTAGTGAAAATCCATATTTTCATAACGATAAAAATGCTTCCAACCAAATTCAATTTCATTTTTACAAATAACAAATAATACTTTAAAACTAAAGATGAAATTCACGGTTTATTTTGCACAAAATCAGACCAGAGGATTATTTTATCTCGCATTTAATTTTGGCCGCGACTCGGGATTCCTCGTTGAATTTTTTTTTCATTCTTCGGATCGCACCAAAGGCCCGTTGAACCTGGAAGGGCATCGTAATAAGCAAGAATAATGCCCGGCGTGACGTGCCGGAGAGGAGCCGCCGCTTTGCAGGTGAATTTGCTCTCGGATGAGGCTTGGCGCTCTCCTCTCCTCTCTTTTAGTTACCTGTTGCGCTGTAAGTTAGCGCGCACTGTGCCTCCTTCGGCTTTACCTGCTGCCAGGTACCTTTTTCTTCTCTCGCTCGCCACATACGGCTATGGCCCTGCGCTAGACACGCACCTCCGTCAAGGTGTTCCCGTCGCGTTCTCAAAAATTCCACCGTCCCGAGTGCGTTTCGGACTTTCGGCCGCTGCCCGTGGATACTTTTCACATTCGGGGACGCTTTCGTGACTTCAGCCGAGTGATTGTGTAGTGAATTTCACGGATATTGGCCCCGCTCTGGCCGTTCGCTGGTCCAGCCAGCCTCCACCACCACCGAGTTTTGCCCTCAGGTAAGACGGTTGAAATTATTTTCAACGCTTTTTTTCTAAAATTCGAATTCGGTTCTAAAAGGAACAACGGCTGCTGCGAAACGCGAGCGGCATTTTTCGCCAAAAGTAGGCCAGACTTGTTACCTACCGACTGACTTGTCATGTATATATCTCTCTTTGGTGATTACGTTGTGAAATCTCTCTCAACGAGCAGCAAAAACTGTATTATTCCAACAACTCATTATAATTTCACTTTTGCCACGTGCAAATCGATCGAAAACAAAAATATTAAAACTTTTTTTAAGGAGATTTTAATGCGTGATCTTTTCGGTAACAACGCCGGCACGGGAGGAATGAGTTGTACATGTAAATGTCCGGCAGACATCCATCTCCACCTCACAAATAAACAAATATTTATATTTATACGCGCGTCGTCTTCTCACATTTCAAATGGATATTATTCCGAGGGTCCCAAATTGTGGCGGGCGATTTATTATATTTTGAGCGAGGTTAAATTATTTATTGGTCGAATATGATAATTCGCTTCTTATAGAAGTTTGTTGTCGTTTCGCGCACCGGATAAAAATAAAAAAACATTTATGCTGCTAAAAATTGTGCCCGATGTCATGTGCTGGCGCCTTTTCGCTGCTGGCGATGACGTCAGTTGTATTATATCAGAACTGCCCGCCTGCATTCCAGGTAAAAAGATTTTCGAGTTCTGTGAGCGGCTTAAATTTCTGGAAAGCAAACACCCCGGCTCACCCTTTTGTCTGGGAAAAACGGGACAATGCGCGCCGATAACAATGAGACTCCACTTCTTCTTCTTCTTCTCTCCCCTGGTTAATCGGAAATCGTTTTCCCAATTTCCACTGGCAAAAAAAAACCTGATTTCGGTAAACATTTGGAATTTATTTCCGACTGTCGCCGGTCGGGGGTGACTTTTGCCTCCCCTCCTGCGCGTGTTCAATAGTACATGATTATAATATACCTGAAGAGGAGTTTATTGTGTAAGAAAACTGCTGCTTTGAAAAAATCTCATATTCCTCGAGGTGATACAGCCGTGCTGCTGCCTCACCTTTACATTGTTGCCATCTCTCTCTGTTCTCTCCTTCGCTCGCTCACTCGCTCTCTCGGCTCACCTTTGGCCAAACTACACAATATTTTCAGCGTCGAGTGGCCGCCAGCTTTTCGCGCGCCGCGTTATTTCAGGCAAAACCTTGGCTCCCATTATTAAATTTCAACTCGCTCTGTGACTTTTCCGTTGATTATCGGGGCCCGCAATCGGCTCGTGCGTGGCATCGACCGAATAATAATCACCTGGACGCCAAACGATCCGCAAACAGACCCTGAGGTGGCGCTAACCTGAAATAATTAAGACAATTAACGTAATTATCCAGTGGTGCTCTGGTTCTTTCCTAAAAGAAATTGCGACTGATTCTTACAATATTTGCTTTGTCCGATAAGAATACAATAAAATGCATTCAAGAGGAATAACGTCTGTTATCGGAGCCGTTCCCTTTTTTCTCAATTTTTTAACGGGTTTTTTAGAGTTCATTTCAATTGGTTTATCTCAAAAACTGAATTTGAGACAATTTAAGTTGGTTATTTTGAGAAATTTCTAAAATAATTCTGTCTTAAGAAATTAAATAAAAATTCCATCAAATAAAATTGCAGGATTGGAAATTTTCATTTAACTCTTATGGAGACCTCTTTGCAGTGCAGACACCTTAATCCGAAAAAGAATTTGTTGCTGATTTGCCTGAAAAAGCAAAGCATTTTTCACTCAATAATAATCCTCGGCTCGCGTCTTCTCCAGAAAACCCGACTGACCAGCCACAGAGCGCAAACGCTGCATCATTCCGGACGAGCACAAAAGGCGAAATTATTGCCGACGAGGCAATTATTATCATTAAAAAATACTCGTGTGTACTTTTGGCAGGTCGTTACGAGGCCCAAAATCGCAATTTGCCTGCCTTTTTGCGCGTGCATACGCCACATGGCGCGTCTCGAGCTCATCTGCTGTGCCTAAAAAAATATTATCCAACTTCTGGATTTATACATTGCACGTGTGAAGGACTCGCTGATTCAATTAGCCGAGAGAGGTGCCAACTGCATGAAATTACTTCCCAGCAGCTTTGATTTTTTGATTAACGCCAACTGTCTGAAATGAGAATTTCTTCTTCGAGAAATTGATTTCCGAGAGAGCAGGTGGATGATTCCGCAGACCGAATGGAATTAGCGGTCGTAGCTGCGATTGAAATCTCCACGTATATATGTGCAGTGCCATAAATTAATTCGCGCGTCGCCGCTTTTACGATGCATCTCCGTTCTCATGCAATAAATTTATAAAATCAGTTAATTAACAGTTAATGCGATTCCTAATGAGCCTCAACCTTTTAAACCTTATTCCAGGCAATTACCTGAGCTACTTCTTAAACCACCCCTGCTGATCCCTTTTATATAATAAAATATATCAAATTTCACCTTAAGCAAAAAAATTTAATTTTTTTCTTTAGAATTCTAGAAACCGATCCGCGTCCTTCAATGCCTGCACTTTTCAATTTTATTTATTCGCGCCTTGAAACGAACGAAACTTGAGCATAACCGCCGATCAAATTCACCTGGTCGGGTATAATTTTCTCGCGCGCAACCCTAATTGCGTTTCTTGCTAGAGAGTAATTTATCGCGTGTATATGACGTAATGGCACACACGAGGAATTTCTTTTCCATTGCACCGTTATTTTTTCTCTTTCTCGCGGCTGATGGCATGACAAGCCGAGATAATTGCGTCGGAACACAAAAAGAGTAGCCGCTCCGTACGAAAATATAAGCAGCAGCGAGAGAGACAGAACCCCTTCTCGGTGGACCAAAGGTTGGTTCGTCGCGTTTTTTGCCGAGCGTCTCCATTGTTGTACCACTCAAGACTTGATTGGGTGATTGGAATTGAAAAATTCCTCGCTGCATGTACTCGCCGCTTGCCCGCGAGAGAGAGAGAGAGAGAGAGAAGCGAAATGATAAGCCTCTCCCGCATATATGGAGTGTTAATAATAATAAAATAACGACCGACGCGATTTTTTGCTGCCGATGATATTAATTAAGCCCCGCAGTGGACGAAAAAGAAAAACATTAGAGCTGAGAAGAGAAGATGGAAATCCGGCTACCCCACCGCGCATTGATGTCTCCGTAATGGGATCGGCCCTGATACACATAATTGCCGGAATTAACATTATCAAAGTAGTAAAATTAATTCAATTTTGAACAAATTAATTCCATGGTAGTTTGAAAAATTCCTTTTTTTTAATTTTTATTTAATTAAAAAAAATTAAATCTTTATACTTCCTATATAAAATAAGTTTTTCTTTTTTCCCCTTCGCAATGACATTGAAAAGAACGTCAACTCTGAAGTCGTCTCAGATTTAACAAAATAAGTGATGCACAACCAATTGCAAGAAGTGCAGCGAAGAGAAAATACGCAACACGGCCTATCCCACGCTTCACTTTGCCGTATGTCGTGTTCTCCGGGCAACGCATTTTGCGAAGGATGGATGAGTTACGTTAATAGGCCGAGAGCTGCAACGATGTGAAAATCGTGTTTGTCGTTCACCGGCTTCCGTTTCCCTAGCTTCGCGCGCCGAATTATGAATATGTATTAAATCGCCGGTGTGATAATTAACACGGCGTCGTAACGGTCGACGTAATTTATTTATTGTACGGAAGAAAGAAGGAAAGGGTGTTGTGGGAATTGAGCGGGGCGCCTCCTTAATATTTTCCACTCGGCCACACCAAGAGGAATGTGTTATTATTTTTACTAGAAAAACCACTCTACCTGAAATTGCGCTTTTCGAGGAGCTCCATTGTGCGTCTCTATTTGTTATTTCGTGGGTGTCTGCAGAGAATTTCCCCCAACAAAGGAAAAATGCACCCTCGAGTGAGAGGAGAAAAATCCGATCTGCGGCTGACAAGCAGCAGGTACGAAAAGTATAAGAAAACATGAGCGTGTAATCTCCAGAGCTTTCATATTAGCCTGCTGACGAGGGCCCAGAGAAAGATGCCCGTGCTTGATAAAGTATAAAAATTTTCCTCCAGCGAGTCTGTCTGTTAACGATTCAGTGGCTCTGCTGCGAGAGATTATCTGTCCAGGCCGCGCAGCCCAGCATCCTTCCACCCCATCGCTCCCGATCGCACGATCCATCACAAAACATGTTTTTGATTTAAAGCCGGGGCTGTTTTTTTCCCCAACTCAAATTGGGTAGCACGGTGGGGCGCCTCTCCTCACGCAGGGGGTGTGATTTTTTTGTTTCTATTAATTTCATAGCGCATCCTTTTTTAATATATGTTATATTTTATGAGAAAACGCACAGGTGCTTCTGTCTGTGATTTCCATCGAGTTGCGTGTCGATTTTTGTATAATTTTTATATTCAAACAGCCGGTCGGTATATCAAATAATGGTGGAGTGGCGCGAGTCTAATTAAATTCAGTCGGGAAGTGAAGCAGTCAGCAGTTTTTTTTTTAATTCTTATACACAGCGCCTAGTTTTATGGCCGCCTTTGTCCCCGTCGTTCGCGTGTTTTCATCTCTCGGAATAATAAAAAAAAAAGTTTGCATGGTCAGGCTTTTCACTCGAGCTGACTTATCGCGCACCTTCCTCTCGGGATCAGCACGTAATCAAGTGGAGCATGGTGCTGCTGTTGTTGCTGCAGCGATGGAAAGGCAGGCGCCTCGCTATGCTCAAGTTTCAAAAACGTACTACGTAGAAAGAAAATGGCGCATAAATTTGCAGGGATATTTCATCCAGGGCCCTTCTTATACCCTGGGATAAAAATTCAAACGACTTTTTATATTATCAATTACAAAACTCAAATTTTAGAATTATTGCAGAAAATATTTTGAAATTCTTTTAAATTAAGACAAAAAGAAATTAAATTGGGAAGATTCAAAATGAAATTGTTGCTAGATAATTGTTACTAAAAAGTGGAAATTAAAATCCCATCAAGAAAGTTTGTTCAAATAATGTATAAAA